TGTAATATGTAGGTGTGTGTGTGTGTGTGTGTGTGTGTGTGAAGATATCTGTTAGGTCAACTGCATAGTTGACAAGACCATTTTATTACAAGGTGTAATAATCAGCTAAACAAACAGGAAGTTCCAAGAAATTTTGTAATATCCTTGAATTTATGCACTTTTAGATATTAGAAGCATAGGCAGAAAAATAAAGCACATGATGACAACACTAAGGAATCTTACTTGGAGGCTATCTCTGTATGGTCAAAACTCTCCAGGCAGCCAGAGCCCCCCTCCCCGGTTCCTCGAATACCTTCATGCTGCACCTGCCGTTTACAACAGATTCAGCATCAAAAGTCAGGCTATTTTGCTCGGGCAAATGAAAGGGCAGGAACCCGTAGATTTCAGGAGAGACAGCAGCTGTGGGGAGCATTTATTCTCCATGTGTCTTGCTCTCTCTTTCCTTTTCTACCTGGCTCTTTTCTCACTTTCTCACACTGCTCGGCTTCTCTCTGTCCCGAGGTGCATCCTGCTCCCCCTGCCCTCTCTGTGGCCTGATTCCCTAGCCCTGGGCTTGCATATGGGTTTGGCTCACCCTGGCTCTTCTGGACCCAGTTGCACCAGTGCTTTCTTGAGCTTCACCTCTGCTGCTCCTCACCTCACTTTTCCAGTTTTCCTTTTTTCAAGGGATCACTCTAATTATTTCAACTCACCTTTTCAATCTGTAGAACAGAGGTCACCATGTATTGGCTGTCTTTGTGTTAAGTGTCTGCTCCTATTTAGTTATGTTTTAGGTATTTAGAAGCAGAGTGACATGATATAAAACATGACCAGTGCCTTCTTGGAAGGTTAATGAACAGGGAAATTTCCCATGAGAGACAGTATGAGAAGTTCGTGGAACTTCATGTATTGGCAGTTGGCTTTACCCAAACACCACTTTTGTACTGCATCTAAGCTGGAATTTAAAGGGATTTCCTGACTTCAATGGCACATAAAAGACAGTGTACAAAGCCTTTCTGAGGGAAATAATTCACATTCCTATTGCTGAACACGATACCACCTGCTGTGCAGTGGTAATGCAATTTTAAGAATAACAGCAATAAAAAGCTAGCACAAAATAAATGCCATTCACTGGTCTCTAAACTACACCACACACTTCACATACATTATGAATAATGACGTCAATAGCTCTAAAGGATGGGTATAGGCATCTCTACCTTACGGAAGAAGAGACAGGTTCAGGAAGCTTTAGTAACTGGCCCACGGTTACACAGCAAGAAAGTGGAAAATATTCGGGTCGGTCTGATTCCAAAACCTACATTTTTCTGCTGCATTATGCTGACAATTATTTTTTTTTATTTTAACAGTAAAATATATATTTTTAAAAAATAAAGAGGAGAAAAGCGGTCTCCTATGCTTGCACAGATACTAACCATTTCTGTTTCTCTTCCTTTTTTTATGAGGTTTCAAGTGTGCTCTGGTGTTATTTCCCTTTAGTCTAAAGTATTTCCTTTAGCATTTCTTGTGGAATAGGCCTCCTGGTGACAAATTCTGTTGTTCTCCTTCACACATGGCTTTATTTTACCCTTATTTCTCTAAGATATTTTCACTAGATTTGGTCTAAAGTATTTCCTTTAGCATTTCTTGTGGAATAGGCCTCCTGGTGACAAATTCTGTTGTACTCCTTCACACATGGCTTTATTTTACCCTTATTTCTCTAAGATATTTTCACTAGATTCTGAAAGGTCTTTCCTTTCAGCAGCTTAAAAATGTTGTTCCACTGTCCTTTGGCCTCCATCATCCTGATGAGAAATTTGCAGTCATGGGCATTGCTGCTCCCCTGTATGTAATATGTCATAATTTTTCTCTGGCTGCTTTCAATACTTTTTTTGTCTGTGGTTTTCAGTAACTTTATTATGATGATCCTGGGCTGATTTCTTTGGATTTATCCTCTTTAGAGTTTTCTGAATTTCCTATATCTGTAAATTCACCTTTCACTACTTTGGGGAAGTTTTCAGGCATTAGTTTTATATGTGTTCTTCTATACCAGTGTCTTCTCTGCTTTAGGCACTTCAATGACACAAATGTGAGAACTTTCATATTATCCCACAAGTCTCCAAAACTTCATCCATGTTACTTTCCATTTTTTTCTCTTTCTGTTCCTCATATTGGATAACTTCTATTGTTCTATCTTCAAGTTCACGTGCTCTTTTCTCTCTCATCTCTATTGTGCTATTGAACCCATCTCATAAATTTTTAAATTTCAGATATTGTATTTCCAATTCTAAAAACTCAATTTAGTTTTTTTCTTGTTGTTGTTGTTGTTATAGACTCTATTTCTCTCCCAAGGATTTCTCCCTTTCTATTCATTTTGATAGTATTCATCTCAGTTCACAGAAAATGATTCTAATATCTGCTTCAAAGTGTGTCTCATAATTTACACATCTGAATCATCTTTGAGTTGGCACCTACTGATTGCCTGTTCCTTGAAAATTGGTTAGATTTTCATGTTGTTGGCATAACAAGTAATTTTAGGTTGTATCCTGGACATATTGAGTATTACATTGTCAGACTTTGCATACTGTAAAATTTCTCTGAAGAATATTGATATGTTGTTATTTTAACAGGCAATCAACCTGTTCATTCTGTCATTATTTTCTGTGATGGCAGTTTTAATGTCAATTCAGTTTTAAAAGTTTTTGCTATGCTATTAGTGTCATGCACCCTGGGACATGCACCACTCAGGGCTTGCTATTTGGGTGGTTTTTATACAGTGGTTCAGTTTTCAATGCCTTTGCTATCCTATTTTCTGTGCATTTGAAACTTGGGGGTGAGCTTGCTACTTGTTTAGGTTTGAACACAGAGTTTTAGATTCTCTCTCTAGATATTTCCTCTGTAGGATTTTCTTCACACCCCTCTAGGGCCCCCTTCCCTAGTTCCTCTGGCCAGAACAGGTATTTTCTGTTAAAGTTATGGCCTCTTGTGCTGTGGCAAAGTTCTATGCAATAGTGCCACACAGCAAAGCAGCAAGAGGAAAGGGAAAAAATATAACAGTGATTCCCCCCTGTCTTTGCACAAATTAGGCCCCTTTTTCTGGATCCACTATCAAGAGGATTGAATCATCTTTTGGGAACTTAAGTTCCCATACTTCCAGTGGGGTAGCAGTGAGTGCAGATCTATGTTTGAAGCTGACCTGGAGGCAGGACTAGGGGAATTAAAAAATGGGGATTTTCCCCTACTCTGGCTTGCAGGCCAGAAAGAATGAGGATTTTCTCCCTTTTTTGATCTCTAGCCAGAATGATGGACTTCACTAAGGTTTTTGCTATTTGCACATTTTGCACAATTCCCAATTTGACTTTCATTCAGGCCAAATCTGGGAGGAGAAATAAAAGAAGAAAACCCAGAAAACTCTTTGCAGTGAGTTTATTTTTCTTTAAGGTTTGACTTCTCTCCTCAATCCACTTGCAATTATTTGCTTTTCAGAGTCCTCAGACAGTTGCTTGTCAAACTCATCCCACTGTAGGTGTGATCAGGGGCATGAGAGAAGGGGCTTCTTAGTCCCTGGACTGCCTCTTACTAATGTTTACAGCTCCAGCACTTGGTGTAGAACCCGCCATGTGATAGACAACCCCATCCATTTTGTAAATGAAGTGAATGAAAATGTAAGATATGAGACTCACCAATTATCTAGCAAACTGTGATAGGACATAAATAGCAAATATTTGGCCCACAGTCTGTCACTCTTACTTCCCACCCTCCAAGTTGGTATCAGTGTTTCTTCACTGCTCCCTGCTGAGCCTCAATACAATCTCAGAATCCTTCCTAACACAGCAAGCCTAAAAGCTATGGCCAAGTGGTCAACACTGGCATGTGAGGGGAAAACCTACTTTTTACTCCTGTCTTCAGGGCTCAGCTATTCACACAAAAATTTCAGCCTTCCTTTTTCATTTAATTCCAGTGATGCTTTTCTCAAACTGCCATCTTCCCATCCTTTTATTCTCTAAGATTCCAGTTGATAGGTATATTTCCTCTTTGCCTGGCAGGCTTGTTGGGAAAAAAAAAAAAGTTTTCTTTGCCATCTTATCAAGTTTCTGTATTTTCTTAAAATATTATAATTTAAATAATATGTTTCACTGAGCTTTCGCCCATTTACACCAACAAGAATTTATTATAGTGTTTTAGCCTTTGGGAAATGATGAATTCGTTTAATAGATTGGTAATTATCCAGCTCAAAAATCATTATTAGAATTCATTTTTATTTGATTCCTGCATATCCCCAAACCCACAATCCATTTATCACCAGCTGCATCCATTAATCCAGCCTTGTTTGTCCTTGACTAAAGACTCCTGTACTTCTCATTTTGGATTTTTCGAAGTACAGATATTAATAGAAAGTGAAATGTCTTAAATATATCTGATTTAAAATCTTGGATTTGCTTGGAAAGCATAGTTATATAAACTTTTTAAAAAAAGATAGTTTTGCTTGCCGTTTTTAATTGCTTTCGACTATTTTCCAATAGAACCACAATCTAAATAGAAGTGAACTTTTTGTTAGGGCTTTGGGGTGATCATTATCAGCTTCTAAGGGATCACTGTGGTACAAAGATATCTTAACAGGAGAGAGAGGCAGTGTTTGTAAATAATTTGAAAGCCTTTTTATGTCTTTGGGCATTTGGCGTGGAACTGTGGGCTTGCTCAAGAGAATTCTTTCTAGAACTTTAGGTGTTTCCACTTTTAAAATGGATAATCTGGTCAGAAAAGTGAGCTGCTTTAATATATTAAGTATGTATGTGGTCCAAATATGGAGCATGAGGAGTTGATTGAAGGTCACCAATGTGGACATCACTGAGTCCAAGTTCATTTGGTGAGATCCCCTGTGTGAGACAATTCAGGACCCATAGCCTGGGATTCCGTCAAGCAGTGCTGCGGGTGAAATTAGACAAATGAAGAAAGAAACTTACTGTGTGACAGTCTACCATGTCTACAATCTAACCGTGTTTTCCTTTTCTCCTTTTCTCCTGGGGTCTCCAGTTTACCGTGGCTTCTGGGCAGTCCTGATGCTCCTGGGGGTAGTCGCTGTCATGACCGCGAGCTTTTTGATCATCTGTGCAGCCCCCTTTGCCAGCCATTTTCTCTATAAAGCCGGGGGAGGCTCATTTATTGCTGCAGGTATGTACAGTGCAAAGGCTAGAATTTCCACCATGGCTTTTCTTCAGATCTTTATATTTGCCATTTCTAGATTCAGGTGTCAGTCTTCTAGTATTAGTAATACAGTAATATTCATACCCAGTAATTCTTGAGTGCTAACAGTGTGTCAGATGGTTTCCAGAGACTTTTCATTTGCCACGTGCTAGTCTTGCCATGGTATCTCATTATGCAGATGAGAATACTGAGGCTTAGAGGGGGAAGCTCTGCCATTGACTCCCTTCGAGGTGTGCAAGAGCCTTTTAATCACTCTGACCCTATTAATTTTCTATCTGTAAAATGGCATC